ATAAAATTATTCAGATTCTATTTAGATTGTTCAACTAAAATAACATTTTTATTTACAATCCCTTTTATTCTACAAATAAGTTAACAAAGCTATATGTTATGTCAACACAAACATCACACACTTTTGTTGATGATAAATTACCTAATCTGCAAATAAACTACTCTAAAAATAATTAGGTTTTAAAAATTAATATAATTTTCATTTTTGTGTGTGCATGCGTGTGTGTGAGATAATACTTATAATAGCCAGTGCATCAAAAGAAAATGGAAGGGATAAATAAATATCAAATAAAAAAAGATTTACCTTGCAGAAGTAGTACCACCAGTGTAAGTTGCTTTAATCAATATTGCATCTAAATCTGCTAATGTCATCAATAGATGTTCTCTAGTAGCAGGTTGCCCATCAGAACGTAACCATGATGTCTAATATTTAAATAAAATGCATTAATTGTTTTGAAAAAAATCTTTAAATAGGTTGTATTTTAGATAATTTTACATAAATGATTCTAGTGAAACAATATGCTTTATATATATAAAAAAATGAGGTAAAAAATTAAAAGAATAAAATAGGCAGAATTTAATAAAAACTTTAAATGGATTACCTCATACATAGGAATTGAAATAGAATGTAAAGATGAAGGTCGAATTAACTCAGGATGTCTATATACCAGAACAATGCCATTCCCCTTAAAAGAATTTTTCAAACATTATGTTCATGGATTAACACAAATTTTAACTAATTAAGTTCATGAAATAAAAAACTTAAATTACCATTATCTGTACATCAGGATCTAAGTTAGGATCAGCTCTGCTTCCTGGGACATACATAACTGTGTAATTCAGTCTTCCACCATAGGCTGTTACCTAATAGAAAATTAAAACATTTACCAGAATAAATAATAATGTCATTCAATCTATTCAGCAAGAAGGATATTATTTTGAATTTGAAAAAGAAAGAGAAATTGGAATACTTTATTTAAAAAATAATACAAAAATATATATTTATAATGATTAATTTTGTAAATACATTATCATACATATATATTGATTCAAAAATCATTAATACTTACTTTATCACCCAAGAAAGACTGTGGCATTTTCCAATAATAAGTCTGTGCTGGTTGTGTGGCAAAATTTCTAAATACAAGTTCCCTGTTTCGTGAATCCACTTGCAAATTTTGGTTGATATTGTAACTCCTTAGAATGTTAGTAAGAGTTACTCCTTGTGAACTGCTAGTGAAACTCAAAATAATCTAGAAAAAAATGAAAAACTATGCATATAGTTCCAATCTACACAACAGTACACACAGACAAAATATGGAGTCAGCTAACTTAAAAAACACACACACAAGAAATAAACTGCTGTGTTTAAAAAAAAAATTTTATCCCATAATCATACAAATTTCAAGTTTTTAACTTAAAAATTCACAACTTGTATTTAACAAATTAAAATAAATGTACAGATATAAAAAAAAATTTATAAAATTAAAGTGATCAGCTTAATATTAGTATTATATGATGATATAAGATCAAAAGCATAAGATTTATCTATTAGAAGACAAACCTTCAGTTGGAATCTATATTAATGAGAACTTATAAACAGAAAACAATTACAAATTTGAAGGTTTATAGAGAGAAATGTAACTTTAAAAAAGATACCTTACAAAAGATAATTTATAAATGCTTACATCATCTCTATACCATGTGCTGCTTGAACAGGTTTCAGTAATACCCATACAAAAGCAATCAATGCAACCAAGTGGAGACTCAGAATTCAAATAAAAGGTGTGCGGTTTACATTGATCACATCGAGCTCCAGTAACATAAGACTGAAAAAAATTGATAGATCTATAATTTGCAGTACTTCAATGAACAATTTAGTAAAATAACTAAATACATGCCTTATAAATAAAGAAAAAAAAATTCCATTTACTTTGCATTGACAAAGTCCTGTTGTTCGACTAGGATCAGGAGTTAAGCTACCAACTGGATCACATTGTAATCCTCCTAAAAAAGTAAAATTTGAATTGTTTAATTGAATTAAAATTCCCTTCAACTGTAATAAAAATAAACACAGAATTAAAATTAATTGAACTCTCAATAAAGTATATTGTAACAAATGCATTTTTAATACAACTTTTATGAAAAAACACCCTACTACAAATAATTTCTTGACAATTTTTTAAAATTATATATAACACATGGGCTGAAAAGTCCCGGGCCTAACACATAGATGGCGCTAGTTTTATTGCAGTCACCTTTTTTTCAGTTAATACTAACCTTCAAAAGACAGCTGTTATATAAAGTTTCCTGATATTCTATTCATTAGTTTGTGAGTTATTGTGCTAAGAGTGACGCTACTTTGTTATTTTCAAAACAATGGATCAAAAACAATTTAGTGTTTTAATTTTACACTGCTTCTTGATGGGAAAAAATACCGTTCAAGCGAAGCAATGCGACTACTGGCTGTTCGCAGACCTGAAAAAAATGCTCACCGGTAAGATTTCGCACGAATGAAGAGGCTATCGCTGAAACTGAGGCCTATTTTGAGGCAAACGATAAATCGTTCTACAAAAGTGGTATTGAAATGTTAGAGCGGCGCTGGAATGATTGCGTTGCTCTTGATGGAGATTACGTTGATGAATAAAGCTAATTTTGAACCAAAAAAACTGTGTTTTCTTGTTAGGCCCGGGACTTTTCAGCCCATGTGTTATATATATATATATGTGTGCTTTCATTTAATGGGCTTTAGATTGGTATATCCACCTTTACAGACCTAGTACATTCCCTCGGAGCTGGTATCATTTTTTATAGTGTGGCACTATATAGGTGATATCAATTGCTGCAAATAGTTTTGTGTGTGTGATGCTCAGTTCCCCCCCAGAGGCTATGGATGCGAAATTTGTACTTAGGAATTTAATTATGCTGAGAGCATTTAAGACAAATGGACACTCAAGGGATTTTTTACACGCCATATAATCAAATGACATGGATGCTGTCGATTTTCTGCAACATGAAAATCCACCAACTTAAGTCAAAGTCGAACCTGCAACCAAAGGTGCAGAAGGCCAGCGACAAACCAACCAGGCGGTATATGTATATATATATATTTAACCACTTCCTTCTCCCTCCCATCAAAATGGCAGGCTGAGGTTCAGCCCTTTATTTTTAATGCTCATGATATTTCCAGGGCTAGAGAGTTCAGAAGAGTAACATACCAAAAGGGCCATTTTTTATACCCAGAAAAAAAATTTATTTCCTACTTCACATATCCAATAGACTATTCGTATGCACATATTCACCAGACTATTTATAATGTTTTAGAGGGTATTTTAAATAAATTAGTTGAAAACAAACTTAAGCTTATTTTTAAACATTTTCTAGGATAAGAAATAGGTATACTTTTATAACGTTTTCTAGGAAAATCATGCATACAATCTTTAAGGGGTTCTTTTCATATAAATTAAAGAAAAAACATAGTTTATCAACTTTCTATAATAATAAACTTAAAAATTTTAAGAAAATACTTAAAAATAATTCAAAATATGTTTTTCAAAAGATATGTCCCCCATATAAATAAAATCTTTTAAAAAATAAAAAAATTTAATAATGAACATTATTAACATTTATCCCATGATAATAGCCAGACAAAAACCAAAAAATTATTTCAAAATTGTCTTTATTTAATTTAAAATTTTTCCGGCAATTTGTATTGGAATAAATTCAGCAAATGTAATATAAAATATATGTATTTAAATTACAGGAAATCAAAAAATAACTTAGTTTTTTTTATTACCTGTAGGAAAAAAAATTGAACAGAGAAATTTGTAGAGTTATGATTCAAATGGTATAAATGGTAATCACAAAAATAGTGTTACGATTTTGGTATTTAAAATGTGTTTATAATGTTAAATTATGTCAAAATTACTATTCTGCTTGAAAAATAGTGCAGGATTAATGTTTATTGCATGTAAACATGTGAATTAGATCAATTGCTATGGGACCTTGTAAATAACATGGGCCTCTTTGGGTATCTTGCCAAATTGGCGAGATATCGTTTAGTTGGAGACAGTTTTGGCAACTTATTTTGTCGCCAAATTTGTTGCCAAGTGTCGCCAAATTTGGCGATATTTGACGACTTCCGGTTCTCCTATTTTCTGGAATATTCTACCACTTTCGCCGTGTCTATATAAGGCATACTGAAATGCAACAAGGGGCAGTTGTTATTCAGATTTCTTGAAGCTCAGACGCGCCAGCAGCCTCTGTTACTTTACGGGTGATTCCGTTGTGATTTATGCCAAAGAGAGTACGAAAGCCTACGGCTTTGAATTTGATCCATTCTCCGCTGGATCAGTACATTGCGTTGTATTACTGTGACTTCGGCTGTTCTTATGCCTTTCTGAACATTGTATTCTTCATTGGGCTGATAATAAAGAACTGTTTTATCGCTGTCCTGATTAAAGTCTATTCAATCCCTGAACCCAGCAGTTAAATTCATTACAATAGTAAGCAAAGAACACATCGTTCAGAACTATAATCTAAATATAATTTTATTTAAGACACCAAAAAAACCCAATAGATATTAGATTAGGTTTTTCACTTGTCATTGAAAACTCATTACTTTCCTAAATCCTGTTCATTACTTTCCTAAATCCTGTTCATTATTTTCTAAAGTGTTACCTATATATTTAAAACAAGATAAAGAATATAACAAGCAACAAAAAAATTAAGTATTTCTACTTAGGTCAACAAAGAAAAATTTTATTTTAGTTACTTTTTATTAAGTAATTACAATTAATATAAATAAGTATATACATATGACAGAATTACAACATTCAGTGGAAAAATAGAAAGCGATTTCCCTTGCAATAATTTTCCATTCCCCATTCTATATATGGTGATCGACTAATATTTGTTTGTTACTATTTATTCATTAATGTAGTTTTAATTATTCCAATAAAATGTTATAGTAAAAAGAAATCACATTCTAAGAAATTAGGCTATCCCAGGTGGAATTTGAATCCAGGACCTTTGGATTAGAAGTCCAACACGCTATACATTGTGCTACGGGGATACAATGAGAGGTTTTTTTTATATATGGTGTTGGATTATTACTTTTGTTTGGTGTTATTTATTCATCAATTAATGAATTAATATTTGAAAAAACTGCATTAACATCAAGTGCCATCCACGACAAGTTTTAAAAAATGTATTTAAATTTGAGTTGATAAATAAAATATTTTATTAATGGTTGAAAATTTGAACAAGGTATACATATAAATATATATATAGGGAGAGTGTTAACTAATAGTAGAAATTGAAATAAGAACATTGTAAATATTCACCATGAACTCTACAGCTGCCACCAGGAATATTAGGGTTACCATCATACCCAGGACCACATCTCTCACAGCGTCTTCCTTCATAGCCAATAGGACAGGCATCACAAGTCACTTGACCATCAGTGTCAAGTACACATGTTGGGGAGAACCTACACAAAGTTACATTTTAATAGACAAGCCTAAATTCTATAAAGAAAATTATACAGCATTTAAGTTATTTCTATTATACCACGTATAAAAAAGAAAAGCGGAAAAAAACCTTGTTTTAAAATAATGATTAAGAGATCAATACTGCAAATCTTTTAATTTATAGATCAAAACTACACATAAATTTATAATAAAAACATTTATATAATTACTATAAACAAACTTTCCTTTACATTTGTTGAAGTAGTTTTCCATTTATATATAAATTACACATCATCAAATCCATAGTTATAAAATACATTTAATTTGCTACCAATGACCCAACTAAAATTTGGAGTCAAAAATTTCAAATTCTCAAAAATTAACTCAATTTTCAAAAAAACTAATTCCCTAAAAATTCAAAAGTGACATCCCCCCCCCTTTTTCCTTTGAAGGAATATTTACCACACATAAACAATTAAAAATGAAAGATTTTCTGTACACAGCAAAATTCATTCTTCTGTTCCAACACATTGTACAGAATAATAATATGATAGAACAGTTGCCAAAATATTGTTGCTGCCAATTTCTTTTGATGTAGATAATATTAATAAAAAGATAACATTTTAAGACTTTTATTTAAAAAAGTTACAGATACTGATGAGAAAAATTCAAATTTCCAAAAACTGAAAAAGTGCTGCTCAAATAAAAAATATATATTAAAACTGATGGCATTCATCATATATATGAATATTCTAACATTTCTTTGGAAAACATTAGTTAAACTCTACAAAATGCATTTTGTGAATATCTAGATTAAAACAATTAAATACAGTAACAAAAATAACAAGAATAAAAAAATTTCAAAATAATCAACATTTCCATTAACAGAAAAAGAAAATCATTTATCAAAGTCAAAGAATGTTACATTGAAAAAAAAAGATGAAAACACAGTAATGTGTAATTATTTCTATTATTTAAATCAAAATTAATTCAACAAAAAATCTCAAATTGTACTTTTTATAAATATTTTAAATTCATAATAGAAACTTGGCTTATTACACAAACCAATAATTCTTCACATTGATTTTTTAATATATGTTTACATAATAATAATATATATATATACTTCACTTAAAAACTACTTAAATTTAGGAAAATTATATTTGTTATATTTTATAGGAAACCATGCAATGGTTTTGAGCTAATCCAATGTACTTTATCATGCTGATAAACTAAGATATACATATTATTTTTACAAATATGGGAATTTATCAATGAGTTTCAGGGGTTCCTATTTTTTACAAATTGTGGATAGGGATAGGATACAATGACTAAAATAAGGTAGAAAAGGCACGCTTTTGAGGAATTCACTGAAGTACTTCAAAATGAAAGGGGCTGGACAACCATGCTGGAATATATTTCATGCAATAAAAAACAGCTATATATGTATTTCTGTTACCATTCAGAATGCAAGGCATGACTTCTGGTGTCCAAGAGACTGACATAATGCAGAAAAGAAGAAATTTACTTATTTCATTCAAATCATGTTAGTCATAGGTAATTTCTCTGGAATACATTTCAATACATGAATCTAATTAAATCAACTATGAGTTAAATACTATTTCTATTCACATAACAAACAAAATACTTTTATAGCTTTTAGTACTTTTCATCATGAAATATTAAAAAAATTAGAATAATTGTTAATAACAATTTACAAAGCTATTAAGATAAAATTATGCAACAATTCTTAGTACACAACAGTTCAGGTACATTTTCTAAGCAAAACAGCAGGAAAAAGAACATACTGATTGGGAGTTGTAATTAATGGACAAGGGCATGGTTGACAATCATCAGGTGTTCCGCGCCTTGCATCACCAAAATATCCTCTCTTGCAACGCTCACATTGTCGTCCTTCGGAATTATGACGGCAATTCTACAACAGTAACATTAGTTTTCATTTTTTTACCAACACAAACATACAAATAAGACATTTAGATATTCAAAAATTATTCTGGTTATTAAAATATATTAAATTATTAATTATTGTTTAGTTAAAAATATTATTTTAAATAAACAATATAAAAATGTTTGTTATATCGTTCTCCTTATTCTAAGAAATGCCTATTTTTAAAACTTTAAAATTAAAAGAGTGTGGATATATATTTAATATTTTTTTCAAATATTTTTAAATAGATGTCCTGATGTCAATAGACATATTCCTTTCATTTAAACTATTCTACAAGCAAATTAAGAGAAATATTTTTCCTTTTTTTTATCTAACAAAATTAAACTACATTAAAGATTACTCATATTAAAGAAAACTACATATTGTTTGAAGAATAAAATTGACAAATACAAAATAATTTGATTAAATTATCTAATTGTACTCTAAAGTCAAATTTCATACAGCTTTATATAAGTATCATATAATTAAAAAAAAATTTTTAATTCTATAAAGAGAATAGTTTCCATGAGAAAGATTTACTTTTACACTTTTTTTTTTCAAGAAATTCTTCTTTAGGAACTCATGTTTAAAAATATATCAATTGAAATTAAAAGAAGGATGCATAGACATAAAAATTCTTACCAAGCATTCACCAGATACAGGATCACACAAGCTGGAATGTCCATGACAATTGCATGGGACTCTAGATGGTACACAATCACCGAGTCCTGAACCAGTTTTTCGTCTAGAATATCCTTCAGCACATTCCTAAAACAATAAAAACATAAAAATTTATGTAACTTTTAGAATAATTTTATTAAGAAAGTAATATGTACAATTTATATGAATGGATTTTTAATCATGCTTAAAACTGTAATTTTGATATACTCCTATTACATAAAATGGTATTAAAAATTCGTAATGTGTATTTTTAATTTTGTTATGTGCAAAAGACATGTGAATTTCTTTCCCATACAAAATTATGCAAAGCCTGACTATCCCATACCAAACAAAATTTATTAACCCTTTAACGCACGGTGGTACCTCTCTGAAACCACCATTTTCTAAAAAATACCTCTAAACGTGCAGTGGTATTTTAATGAAACCGATATATCTAAAGATATCTTATCTAGATGTCAGCACATGAGAAAAAACTCCTTTTTCTGTGAGAAAAATTCATCATTTTAAAAGCCTTTTTAAACACTCCAAAAAAGATTTTTTTTAGCAAATAAAAATAGACAAAAATTCATAGTAAGGTATGTACATTTTTGCTGCATATGCTCTTCATAGCATAACTAATTTTTAGTATGATAAATTATGAAAAGAAGTGCCTTATATAAAGATACTTTTGGGTGGTTTCAGACTGATACCACCGTGCACCTAGAACATGAAAATTGTCCGTTTCTTCTCCGGCTTATAGCACACACACGTGAGAGATATAGCCCTTTTTTTTCTTTTCTTTGACTTGGGCAGTGAAATAACTAATAATTTATGGGGGTTTTGCCATTGATTTGGGGGAGGGGTTTATTATTTCAGTATTACTGCATGTTTTAATAATTTAATAATAAAGAAACAATGAAAAAAACTTTACTGGCTATTGAAGTTGATTTCAATCGCTTATAGTTATATTTTGTATTATTTAATATTTAAAAAGTAATTCTAATACTTAATATTGCATATTTTAGTAAATTTATTATAAAATATATAAAGAATATTCTTACAAATCTGACGGAAATCATATATTGTTCATCCAAGAATTATGTAGTAGGTGCGCAGTGGTACTTCTGTGAAACCACCTCCCCCCTCGGGGGGGGGGGGAATGTACTGTAATTTTTTTTAAAGGTATTTTCTCTGTTCTTAGGTTCTATACATTGCATTTATAATTTTATTTTGAAAAATTCAGCGAATTTATTTTTCTGCGCTTCAAAGGTTTAATAACTGGGGCAAAACTGGTGGAAATTTTGATGATTTGGGATTACTTAATTATTTTAAATAAATATGCACTATAACGATACATTACAATTGGTAGCAACTAATCCCTTAGCATTGAATTTTTATCAAATAATGAGGAAAATACTTCGGCTTGTTTTCTTCTAGTATTCCCATACGCAAGAGTTCCAAACGATCTCATTTCAATTAATCCTTAGCAATAAAAGATAAAAGAAAATCTAATTTTATGTCAATACAAAACAATTTGTAGGACACAAACACATTTACACTGTTCATCCCATTCATTACAATTTGAAAATTGCAGATCTCAATATAGGTATTCTTTGGACATTTTAATTTTATTAATTTTGAAAGATTTACTGTACATAATATTGCTTTTATCTGATTTTCTTAGATATCATAACACATCACTCTCTCAATAAGTCCTAGGCCTAACTAATAAAATAACTTTTAGGCAAAATTGAATTTTATTTATCAAGAGATACTCTCCTTCAAGAGTGATACATTCAGCCCAGTGATCTTTTAATTTTGTAATACCTTTTTCGTAGGACGATGTGTTTTTGCTCTCAAAACAGGCTTTAACTTCGGCAATCACTTCTTCATTTGAGGTAAACTTCTTTCCATGGAGCATCCTTTTTTGGTCTGCAAACAGCTAGTGGTCACTGGGGATGAGATCTGGACTGTACAGTGGTGGAGAAAGTAATT